TCTCAGCTTACCTTGGAGATGGGTCCTGATAAATCAATGGTGACTCGAAAATATCCTAAGCCAAAGCTGTTGGTGCATCAGATTAAGATGCTACCTACAATTCATCATCCTATGTCAGAGTGCCCATTTGGAGTCCCAGCTACTCCACTTCTAATCCAGTTCCCTGCTAAGCACCTGGTTAAGTAGTGAAAGGTACCTCAGCTACCTGGGATGCTACAACCCATGTGGGTAACCCAGATGGAATTCCTGGCCCCTGACTTATGGTGATCTGGAGAGAGAATCAGCTAATAGAAGATCTTAATGTCACTCTGCTTTTCAAATATCAAAGTAAACTTTAAAAATGTATTTTAATACATTTCACTTAGCAAACATCCTAGACACAGCACACTGTGGGGTCTCCATTATTCGTCCTCATGATCACATGAATGATTATGCTTGCTGCCTACCAAGTCAAAGAAATGATCAAAATGCTGATCAGTTTCTGCTGAATGTGTATTACTTTCACACCAATGTGAAGGTTTGAAAGGCAAAAAAAAAAAAGAGGGGGAAAGAGAGAATCTTCACTCTGATGGTTCACTCCCCAAATGGCTGCAATGGCTAGAACTGGGCCAGACCAAAGCCAGGAGCCAGGGGCCCAAATGGAATGTTGGTGTTGCAAGTAATAGTTTAACCTAGTACAACAGAGCATGGGGTTCTACTTGTTTATTAAAGTTGCACTTATATTTTTTTGGAAAGTCAGATTTTTAGAGAGAATGAGAGACAGAAATATATTCCCATCTACTGATTTACTCCTTAAATGGCCACAATGGCCGGAGATGAGCTGATCCAAAGCCAGGAGCCAGGAGCCAGGAGCTTCTTCCAGGTCTCCCACATGGGTGTAGGGTCTCAATGATTTGAGTTGTCCTCTTCTGCTTTTCCAGGCCACAAGCAAGGAGTTGGATGGGAAGTGCAGTATCTGGGACATGAACCAGTGCCCATATGGGATCCCAGTGCTTTTAGCATGGAAGATTAGCCAATTGAACCTTTGTGCTGGACCTAGCCCCTATTTATTCCAAAAGATTTGTTCATTTGAAAGGCAGAATTAAAGGGAGGGATGGAAAAAACTTAGATTTGGTGATCTACTCCCCAAATAGCCAGAATGACTGGGATTGGGCCAGGTTGAAGCCAGAAGCCAGGAGCCAGGATTGTCTTTTTTGTCTTCCGTGTAGGTCCCAGGGTCCAGAGACTTGAGATGTCTTCTGCTGTTTTCCCAGGTCTTTTACAGGGAACTGGATTGGAAGTGTAGCAGTTGAGACTGGAACTGGCACTCATACTGGATGCCCTGCACTGCAGATCATGGTTTAACCTTTTGCGCCACAGTGCTGGCACCCTATTTATTTGTTTATTTATTTAAATAAAAAATATTAAATATAGTCCTCTTGAAACTAAGCAGACTGAATAAAAGCTAATTCTAGGAAAACCATGTTGGAGCCAGTGCTGTTGTGTTGTGGGTGAAGCCTGTGTTACTAGAGTTCCATATTGGTACTGGTTCAAGTTCTGTCTGCTCCACTTCCCATCCAGCTCCTGGCAAATGGTCTGGGAAAGCAGCAGAGGATGGCCCAAATCTTTGGGACCCTGGGCCTGTGTGGAAGACACAGAAGAAGCTCCTGGTTACTGACTTTGGACTGGCTCAGCTCATTGACTGATGTAGCATTTGGAAAATGAACCAGCACATGGAAGATTCTCTCTCTCCCTCTCCATGCCTTTCAAATAAATAAAATAAAATAAAATAAAAATTAAAAAAAAGATTTATTTTTCTTTATTGGAAAGGCAGGTTTATAGGAAGAAGGAGAGACAGAATGATCTTCCATTTGCTGGTTCACTTCTCAAATGGCTGCAATGACCGGAGCTGAACCGACTTGAAGCCAAGAGCCAGGAGCTTCTTCCAGGTCTGCCACACAGGTGCAGGGTCCCAAGGCTTTGGGCCATCTTTGTGTACTTTCCCAGGCCACAGCAAGGAGTTTGGAATGGAAGTGGAACAGTCAGGTCACGAACCAGCGCCCATTTGGGATCCCAGCACGTGCAAGGTGAAGACTTTATAGCCATGAGGCTACCATGCTGAGCCCCAAATAAATAAATCTTAAAAGAAGGAGCAAGAGAGAAAGAGACAAAGACAGACAGAGGAAGGAAGGAAAGAAGGAAGGAAGGAAGGAAGGACAGAAGAAAGGAAGGAAGGAAGAGAGAGAGAGAAAGAAAAGAAAGAAAAAGGAAAGAAAGAAACAAGTTGAGGCCAGGGCTCCAGAGTGGGAACTTTACTTACCTTAGCCAGGTACCCAGATATGTAAATAGATTTGACTGTGTGTTGTACCCATGACAGCACGACAAGAGGAATAGCATGTATTGTGATTCTTTTGCAAATAAGTTACTTCTAGCAACCTATCCACAAAGCAGTGTCTTTCTTTCAGTGTAAGTGAGCCAAGCCGAGTTTAAAGCAATCAAATAAAATCCACATAGCCTGTTCAGGTCTATTCTCTTAAACTGCCGTGTTAATGTTATTTGACCACCATGGGATTTGGAAGGAATTTCTCACTGTGGCATTAAATCTAGAAATTGGGTTCTAGTAGGATGCCTTCAATGTAAGATGCCCGGCCCAAGTGAAAGCCACAGCCTCCTTAGCATTCAGATCTCTGGCCCTGGTATCCAGTCATCTGTCAGTTTCCTACTGTGACAGCTAAAAGACAGGTGTTTCTGTCACCTAGTATGAGTACCATAACAATTTTTTTTAAAAAAAATGTATTATTAAAATCACATTGAAGGGAAAGTACACAGGATCTAAAGCATTGTGTGGTTCTTCATCCTTCTAAGATATCTAGCAGTGCTCCCTCCAATGTGTGCTTCACCCAGTAGTGATCAGCAGGTATACCTGCTCTTTCCAAGTCTGTCAGCTTCACGTAACATTATTTCACATTCTCATTCCCACCCACATAGTGCACATGATTGCCACCTTTAATGACTGTGTACCGTTCCTTTGTATTGTCTGGCATGCCAGTTCTTAGGACTGGGCTTATTGTTTGTGAGCAGACCTAAAGGCCTGCTGTCTCTTAATACCAGAAGTCTATTTTAGTTTCTGGAAATGGTGACTAGCACGGGCGTGGGATCGTGTGGGATTCCTGAGTCATCAGTACACAGCATAGTCTGAGTGCTTTGTTAACATTACTCGGCCCACAATACAGCAGCAGAGCCTCTTGGTCTGGAACTGAGCTGGGTATTTCTAGGCACAAGGGCAGACGATAAGCCCCTTGACTCTCATAGTCCCAACCCTAAGCAGAAGTTCTGTACATACCCACAGTAGGACATTTCTGCTGCTTTCTCTCCCCCAGAATGAAAATGTCACCTGTGTTTCCCAACAGAGCTTGCCAGAAGAAGGCAACAAGAATGGGAGGGTGGTTTAGTGCAGCTGAAGGGATAAGGCGCAGGTCAGGGGTGCCACAGCTGTAGCTCTAGGTGTAGCTGGGAAGATAAAGCGAGGTGAGGCTACAGGTGTGGAGACTGGCAAGCAGTCTGTGAATAAAAGAGCTGAAAATTTTTCTGCAGTTTCTGTCTCTAGTCCTGAATGCCAACCTTTCCTGCTGTATGTGCCAATCTAGCAGACTCAATTTCTCATGATGTGCCAGAGTATCCTCCAGCACTGTAACCCTATGCATGTTGAGTTCCATGTGGACATAACACAAAATGTCGCAGGACATAAACCACACACAGACTCAACTTCATTTGAATATTAAGTTGGGGTACCACCCTACACCCCATAAAGGGGCCTGCTAAACAGAGGGAGCTCTCCCTCGCTCCTCATGGACATGGGATTTTTTTCTCAGACCATTCCCTCTATCTGTCCCTCACATGTTAAGTATCTTTTTTCATCAAATTATCCTCAGTAGGTAATAACGCTGTATAGGATTGAATAACAAAATGGAGTTCAGGGCTAGTACAGTGTCATAGCAAGCTAAGTCACCGCCTGTGGCGCTGGTATCCTATACAGGCACTGATTCAAGCCCCAGCTGCTCTATTCTAATCAACTCCCTGCTTAGGACCTAGGAATGTAGTAGTAGATGATGGCCCAAATGCTTGGAACCCTGCATCCACATGGAAGACTCAGAAGAAGTTTCTGGTTCCTGGTGTTAGATTGGTCCAGCTTTGGGTGTTGTGGCCATTTGGGGAGTGAACCAATGAACTGAAGGTCTCTCTTTCCTTTTCCTTGTGTAACTGCCTTTCCAATAAAGATACATAGATTAAAATAAAACAAAACAAAACGGGGAGTCCATGCTTGACCTCTATCCCAGCTATAACTGATTACATGGTTAGTAATACTAGTTGGGAGGCCCAGTGCAGTGGCTCAATTGACTAATCCTTCCCCTTAAAGTGCCAGGATCACATATGAGCACCAGTTCATGTCCTAGATACTGCATTTCTGATACAGCTCCCTGCTTATGGCCTAGAGATGGCCCAAAGCTTTGGGACCTTGTAACCCCATGGGAGATGCAGAAGAAGCTTGTGGCTTCTGGCTTTGGATTGGCTCTGTTCCAGTCATTACAGCCACTTGGAGAATGAACCAGTGGATGGAAGATCTTTCGGTCTCTCCTGCTCTCTATAGATCTGCCTTTCCAATAAAAACAAATAATAAATCTTAAAAAATAATACTAGTTGGGGGGCCAACAGTATGGCATAGCTAGCAAAGCCACTGCCTATGATGCTGGCATCCGATATGGGTGCTGGTTTATGCCCTGGCTGCTCCAATTCCAATCCAGGTCCCTACTAGTGGCCTGGAAAACCAATGGAAGATGGCCCAGGTACTTGGATTCCTGCATTCATGTGGGAGACCCAAATGAAGCTCTGCTCCTGGCTTTAACCTCTCCCAATTCTGGCCATCTCAGTCATCTGGGGGATTGAATCAGCAAGTGAAACAGCTCTCTTTGATTTTAAAATAAATAAATAAATAAATAAATCTTGGTTGACACCCAGGAATGTATTCATTTCACAAGAAGAGGTACACTTTTATTCCTGAAATTTAGAGTTCTTTTCTCCCTTTTTTTCCTTGGCGGTTGCTCTGCCTAAAACCTCTTCTCTGCTCAGGTTGACGTGGTGCATAACCAATCCATGTGCTCTTCCACGTCTCATGCCCTGGAAACTGAGGAAATTCTCTGTCTCCTGAAAGAGAAACAAGAGTGATACAGTTTTCGTAAGAACCACGGCTTGTTGAAATGTGGCCTTTTGTCTGATAAAACTATTTTTGAGCAAAGAGATTTGCTGTTTCCCCATGTGAGAATGACTATCAACAAAGTTTTCCAGCCATGTTTGCAGGCAAATCAGAGGATAGTAGATGGGTGGAGTATTGTCGGAAGACCTGGGGAGGCTACTCTTATCTTTGGCCAGGATATATTGCTGACTTGGGCACACAAGAGATCTGGATTTTAGGAGCAAATCTGCCAGTTTTGTACTGTAGCATCTTGAACAAGTCGCTTAACTTCTCCTTTTCCTGGGTTCCTTGGAGTTGGGCTAGAACAAGGATGGGAAACCTTTTTTTCTGCTATGGGCCATTTGAATATATGTGACATCATTTGTGGATTGAACCAGTAGATGAAAGATGTCTGTTTCTCTCTTTCTCTTTTTAAACAATTTATTTATTTTTATCTGAGAGACAGCTTTACAGAGATAGAAGAAGGGAGGGAGGGAGAGAGGGGGAAAGAGAGAGAGAGGCAAGGGGGGACGAGATCTTCCATCCACTGGTTTACTCCCCAGATGGCGACAACGGCCAGAACTAGGCTGGTCTGAAGGTGGGAGCCAGGAGCTTTTTCCAGTTCTCCAATGTGAGTACAGGGGCCTGAGGACTTGAGCCAGCCTCCTCTGCTTTCCTAAGCCATAAGCAGGGAACTGGATCAGAAGTGAGCAACTGGCACTTAAACGGAATGCTGATACTGCAGGCGGAGGATTAACCTATTAATCCACCATGCTGCCTGATTTCCCCCTTCCCCCGTCCCCTCCCAGTAGTCTGCCTTTCAAATACATAAAATTAAACTTTAAAAGGAAACACTACTGGTTAAAATGTGCTACATGTCCCACATTGGAGTACCTGGGTTTGATTCCCAACTTCAGCTCCTGACTAGATTCCTGTTAATGAAGGCCCAGGAAAGTAGTGCTAATTGCTCAAGTAATTGGGTTTCTGTTACCCACAAGGGAGACCTGGACTGTGTTCTGGGCTCCCAGCTTCAACTCCGACTGATACAGGCATTGGGGGAGTGACTAATAAGCTGAGCCTGTGGGGATCCTATCAGAGACACATAATGTGCCAGTGGTGGGAGCACTCTCTCGGTTGTGTGAACTTTCTCTGCTTCACTCTCTCCCTCTCCAATAAATAATATTTGCACTTAAGAAATTAAAAAAAAAAACACCACATTTCTGTCACCTCCTAGTGGGTAACCTGTGATGAACTATTTCTCTTACTTAATATGACTTTCTGCCTCTGTAAGGTGGTATACTCGGACCAACTTTATCAATTGGGTGGGGGTGAAAAGCAGTAATATCCACCAAACACTTTGCCCAGCATTCGGCAGGTTATCTGCCACCTCTGTGGTATTGGTGCAACTAGTGATATTGAATTCATTCTCCTCATGTGAACATAAATATGCTTTGGCACTATTTTTCCTGATTGTCTTAGAACTTTGGAGTCAGGAGGCTCAAATAGCGAGTTCTATGCAAATAGCCTATCATAAAACTTTAAAAACCCTCTGGAATATGAAACAATTTTAGTCTCAAACATTTTGGGTTAGAGACACTCAATCCCTGATAAACACCTACTACCACTGCCACTACTACACTTAGGATACAGAAAGAAGGTCAAGTTTGTGTAAGCTGCTGCACTGTTTGCGAATCTCAACCAAGTGTTCCAAGAGGTAGCAGTTGCTGCTCTGAAGGGAACAGCAAAGCAGCTTTTGAGGGGCTTCAGCGACAGTGGCTGGGATTTTACAATGAGTTGATGTCAGAAAAGGATTCAGTGGCATATAATTTTCAGTGAAGTATTTCCATGTGTGTTTTTTTTTTTTTGCCAGCCATTTTATACTCCAGCCATTTTATAATCCAGACTTTAAAAGATGTTACTGTAAAAGTAATCCTGTCGTTCTAAGGGTTCATGTTGGTTGGTCATCCATGGTGGGAGTATTTGGGTATAAAGATGTAAAGTCTCTTGCTCTTCTTTGGCAAGATGATCTTTATTCACAAATGGATGCCACCTAGTATTTCCTGAGTGTCTTGGGGAGTGTAGGATTACTACACTGGCTAGAATATAGAGATTGAGGAATGAGGGTGGATCTCAGGAAGGTGACCTCAGAGTTAATTGAATTAAAAGTATATCAAACAAAAAGGAACAAAAAATTGAGTAGGTCCTGATGATGTTGAAACTTAAATTATTTGCTGAGGAAGGAATATTAGATGTCTTTTTTCATTTCCCTTCATTCTGTAGTAATCTGTCAAAAGTCTAGCAAGAGAAAGAAAATAGCCAGTTACTGCAAGTGAAACAAAGTGCTAGGTTTTTTTGTCCTTCCAGACTATTTCACGGTAGCAGGGTGTTGGTCAGTTTCCAGGAGGTATAGACCGCACCCCACAAGATTCCCACCACATCTCCCACCACCGTTCTCTGCCAACCTCCCACTGCCTCTCACTTGTGCTCTGGCCACTATGCCCTTCATTTAAGGAGTACTAACCGTAGAAATCAAAAGCTCTTCCACTGGGACTTTCCAGGAACCTCTCCCCTATGTTCCAGGTGTTCATTTTCTTCCTTGCCATAGGCTCTGACATGATAGAAATGAAAAGAGATTACTGCAATGTTAAATGAAAATGCAGGGGCACTTGCAGACATCTACGAAAACATTTGCTTTTCTCTTCTACCAGATTCCTATGGAGTTATCCTCAGCTCTTCCTCATCCCCACAGCAGTGCCTGCTTCCTCATTAGTGGCCCTGGCCACATCTAAGACCTTCCATGGAGCTGTAGGCATTAAAGACTCCAGGTCCCTTGTAGCTTAAAAATGCCTTTGCTTGTTGTAATATCTGCTTATCATAAAAAAAGAAAATCCCCAGTAAAATGGAAATTGAAAAGGGAATATATTTTGGTGATATCTCCAAGCATGTGTACATACTGTGATATACACTGTATACAAACTTGCTGTTTTCCCTAATAAATGTGTGAGCCCGTGGAAAACTTCCTACTTCAGTAAACAGGAAGGTACTTTAGAGAGCTCATGGAAAAGTGAATTTAATAAGTTTTCTTGATGCAAAAAAAGTTTTAAAATCCATGCATAGTTTTTCATAATAAGTATTTTCTACACACTTTCTAAAGACATTTGGTAAGTCAACATCAGCCATTGTTATATATGAATAGTGTTCCTTTCGGTGACTGTTCATCATTTATTTAGCCTTATTCCACTGTTGGACTTTAGGATGCTTTGAACTTTAGTTATGGACAATGCTGCGATTGATCTCCTTAAGCATACCTTTCTTTTCTTTTTTAAGATTTATTTAAATTTTATTGGAAAGGCAAGATTTATACAGAGAAGGGAGGAGACAAAGACAAAGATCTTCCATCCACTGGTTCACTCCCCAAGTAGGTACTGATCCAAAGGCCTGTAGCCTCTTATAGGTGTCCCATGCAGGTGCAGGGTCCCAAGGCTTTGGGCTGTCCTCTACTGCTTTCCCAGGCCATAAGCAGGGAGCTGGATGGGGAGTGGAACAGCCAGGACATGAACCCACACTCATACAGAATTCCAGCGTATGCAAGGTGAGGATTTAGCCACTGCGTCTTCATGCCAGGCCCTTAAGCATACCTTTATTTTGGTACATGTTAGAAAAAAAATCTTTGAATACAGCTCAAGGAATTACATTATTGGCTCAAAGGATATCTACATTTAAAAATTTTTTTAAAATATATATGGAGACAGCCAATCTACCCTCCATAAAGGTTGTACCAATTTTTACTTCTGTCATTGACAGTCATGGCTTTTAAGACAACCCTGCATCTTGAGAACGGCCCAAAGCCTTGGGACCTTGCACCTGTGTGGGAGACCCAGAAGAGGCTCTTGGTTCCTGGCTTCAGATCGGCTCAGCTCCGGCTGTTGTAGCCGCTTGGGGAGTGAATCAACGGACATGAGATCTTTCTCTTTGTCTCTCCTCCCCTTTGTGTATCTGGCTTCCCAGTAAGAATAAAATAAATCTTAAACCTGCATCTATCCATAAATCTTGTGTTAGCCAGTGCAAAGGGTTTCATGCTAGGCTGCCAGGATGTAGTCTCCAAGCACTGTCTCTGTATTTCTTCCATTTCTCTTTTCCTAACCACCAACTATAGTGTAAGAAGAGGATCAGAGTCAAAACAGGAATACTATTGTAGAAATTGTGAGTAAAGATCTACACAATTTTCCTCTTTGTTGACTGAACTGGGATTACCATCTAGTAAGTTCTCAGCAATGCTTGGTAGGAAAGTCTTTAAATCATCACTCAGAATAGAATAAAGTTTGGTAGTGATCAAAGCTCCTTTTGTACCAGAGTATTCACCTTCTTTCATGGGTTCATCCAAAGCAAATGTTACTGAGATATTCTTCTTAGATCTTAATCTTAAGCCTTCCTTCTGTAAAGTAAGAAGATAGGGGTTTAAAAAGTCAGTTGGTGCACAGGAGTTTAGAGATTGGTCTTTGGGCATTAATTTGTAAAGAACCATTTACCTGGAGGATCGATTTGAGGGGTCTAGGTTCTTCTGCGTGTTCTAAGGGTGGTTTTTTCTCTTTGGACATACCAGTTCTGGTAGAAAAGCTGGGGAACATGGAAAGGATGAAGCACCAGTAGAGACTAACACATTGCAGTCTTGTTTGTCTGCTGCAGGTACTACCCCCATACCTGCAATTTGCCTTTATGCCATGAAAATGATAGCAGAATACGAGAACATTTAGATCTTTTACTGCTTAAGTCATTGCTCACCTTCTGTTTTCTTTCTTTTAACTTTTTTCTGTTTTTTTTTTTTTTAAACACAGAAAACACAGAGACAGAGAAAGAGAGAGATCTATTATTCGCTTGGTTAGTCTTCAGATGCCCACCATAGGAGCAAAGCCAGGAGCCTAGTAATCTCTCTGAGTTTCTTATAAGGGTGACACGGACTCAAGTACTGGAGCTCTCACTATGACCTCCCAGGATATTTGTGAACAAGAAGCTGGAATCAGAAACAGAGCAAGGGCTTGGACCCAGACACTTGGTTATGAGATGCAGACATTCCAAGGAGCATCTTAACAAACACTGAACCAGATGTCAGCCTTCTCCTTGTCCTTCTTGTTCCTCTTTTCAACATGTCTCTCCTCTCCTATTCCTCATTATGGGGAGGATCAGAGAACTGGAGGTTGAGAGTCTGGAGCAGCTCCATGAAAGCCATCAAATGGACTCTTTAAGGGAGGGATCCTGTTGCTTTTCTCTTCCATGTGGAGAATCAGAGAATAGAGATCCTGCTTTGAAAACACTCTAATACTAATAGTTTGGCTTTACCTATATATTGCATATATATGCAACCCTAACCCTAACCCTCACCCTATATTGCATATATATTGCCATGGCCACTGAAGGTATGCAGGGATGGGAGTGCACCTAACACTCCTGCAATGTCAGTGGACACGGCCCTGACTCAGTGGGGCTGGCTGATTTTGAGTGCCTTGACCAGCATGGCTGAAAATCTAAATACTCATGTCTAAGATTGAGTCCTGCTTGTATTATCAGTAAAGCTATTAGAGACAGGGGCCCGGTGGCGTGGCCTAGCAGCTGAAGTCCTGGTCTTGAATGTGCCAGGATTCCATATGGGCGCCGGTTCTAATCCTGGCAGCTCCACTTCCCATGCAGTTCCCTGCCTGTGGCCTGGGAAAGCAGTCGAGGATGGCACAAAGCTTTGGGACCCTGTACTCATGTGGGAGACCTGGAAGAGGTTCCTGGTTCCCGGCTTCGGATCGGCATAGCATCGGCCATTGTGCTCACTTGGGGAGTGAATCATTGGACAGAAGATCTTCCTCTCTGTCTCTCCTCCTCTCTGTATATCTGACTTTTCAATAAATAATAAATAAATCTTAAAAAAAAAGCTATTAGAGACAACTCAATACCTTTCTGATGAGCATATTTCCCTAGGACATCTGGTTCTTTTGGGGACTGTGGCACTTGAGGTAGGTAGCTGCTGGGAAATACAAATTTCTTCATCTTTATCTGCTGTGGCATCTAGCAGCCAGCGCAGCCCTTCAATTATGTGCTGATGGTTCTTCTTTTGGAAAGTTTTGGTGACTGAACATGGTTCCTGTGGCAGAGAGGGGTTGGGGAGCAAATTTGAAATTTGAGACCAGAGATCCTCAGCATTCACATCTGAGAAGGTAAATGAAAGACACAAAAGCTGCCGTCTTCACGTGAAGTGTTTTTTGTCTTAGATGTGTTAACCTTGAACAAGTCACTTAGGAGTCTGCAGGCCTCAGCTTTCTTAATCATCAGATAAGGATATTAGCATTTCTGACTTTAGAAAACTAGTTTGAGGGCAGAAAGTAATATTGATTACTGCCAGCAATTTAGAATGGGCTATTTTGCCCTAAACCCCATATGAGACTGATCGTGGACTGGATCAAGGACATTCTCAGCTGGGTTTTACAGGAAGAGGAAAGATGGAAGGAGTGGGGGTGGACACTTACCACTCGGCACAGGGACTTGGTCTCTTTCATTAGCCTTTCCAGAAGGAGATTTTTGATGATAACGCATGGTGAAAGGGCATCCTTCTTGTCTTGTTTGTTTGCCAGGCTAGAACAGGGTACAAAAAAGAAGAAGGAAGAGTGAAATTGAATAGAGGAAAAAGATAGGAAAGGAAGGGAGAGAACTAATTCTGGTACAACTGCATCGTATTTGGGTATTGGATTTAAAGATTGTTCTTCTCCATTCTCAGAGAAGGAGAGAATGGCACAAATAATTTGAATCCAAGATAATTCCCAGGATTCATTTCTCATTTCCCCTACTTAATGGCATCAAAGTTGAATTGGAATTATTAACGGGATGTGAACAAGTTTGGAGTTTTGAAAATCCTCTCCCAACTTTGGTCATGCTCTAATTGGGGTTACTAATAAGGATTGAAAGCTGCAGAAAGGAAGTCATTGTATGTGTGAGAGGGGAAAGGATTGCCTCCCTCCCCCCCACCTTCGAGTTATTCCCTGCAATAAACACTGGTTATATGTCTCAGGGGCAATCTGCAAAGGGAGCAGACATTAGGATCTAGCATACAAAACAGGGGCTGTTGTCTGCCACCGTGTGATGCTAAGATTGGAGACTGCAACCAGAAAGGATGTGAAGCAAATTCAGGGAGGCTAATCTAGCTGCAGGATGGCAGTGGTAGATTCAAATATCACCTCTGAGTTTCCTTTGGTGCTTCCTGTTTCTTGGGGTAGTGTGTGTCATAGAGTGGCTCCTGCAAACACCCCCCCCCCCCCCCCCGCCAGTGGACTGGGCCATTCTACCCCACTGAGCTGACAGAAATGGAAACTCTTGCTAAGTGTGACAAAAGGACCACCCAGTACTTTAGCCCTACTTTCAGTACCAATTAGGAAGGGAAAAGTAGAACACAAAAGCATAGTCTTACAGTAAGATGGGTTTCCCTGCTACTCTTTTATCAGTCAGTAGGCGTCTCAAGATGATCTTCACTTCCTGCATGCGTGCTAAATCACTGGAATCCAGGACGAAAACCAGCCCCTGTGCACGTGTATAGTAGTTTGGCCATGTTTCTCGGCCCTTCATGTCTCCATTTAGGTCATAGATAGAAACTTCGTATTCATCTAATATAAGTGTGGTCAATTCGGACTTCATGCTGCTGCTAATTCTGCTTGGAAGTACTGTACATAGGCCGAGAGAGGAGAAGCAACCACAAAGCAGAGACATAGAGTTAAATCAATGCAATGAATATTAGTCATCAAAAAGAATTACATCTTGATATTTGCAACAAAAGGCATGATTTAGAGATCATTATGCTGAACGAAAAAGCCAGCCATAAAAACACAAATGCCACCTGCTTTTTCTCACGTGTGAAAGTTAATATAGGCATAGTCAAAACAATGATTGGATGTCATATTACAAGATATGTATATGTTTATAAGTGTCTTCATTGGATTCTATCCCTTAAGTAATGATGTCCTCATTTTATGATCTTTGTTATGAATCCTGTACATGAGATCTCTGTACTCACCACTACTTAAAACAATAAAAGCAAAAACAGAATGCATGCATTACAATATACTGTTTACATACGAAGGAAAACCTGTTTGGCCTAGGCATGCTACCCTCTTTTGGCTCATTCATCTTCAGTGAGTGATTTGTCTCCCAGGAGAGACAAATCCAGACCCCTCCTCTTCCAAGGTGGCAGACCTATCTCTCAGCACTCTAACCTGAGTCTCTGTCTCTCCTAGTGCCCCTCTTTTCCCCCCAATTCCTCCTTCTCCCTCTCCATTTCCCTTATTCTTCTTTTTCTCCTGCACCCAATCTTCCTCTTCCTGTTTCCCTCCCCCTTCTCTCTTCTTCCCTCCCTTCCTCTTCCCTAGACTCCTCCCCCAACCCCTCACTACCTCTCATCTACACTTCTCCCCCTTCCAATCCGCTCTCACTTTCTTTGACCTGCACCTTCTCCCCTTCCCTTCCTCTCCCTCTCTCAACCCATCTTTCTGCCTTCCCCCTTCTCTCCTTCGTTCTCTCTCCCTCTTGCTCCCTCCTCTCCCCCTCTGTTCTCCCTTTCCCATCATTTCCCCTTTTCCCTTTCACCCTTTCCCCCTCCCCTTCCCTTCTCCCACTCCTTCCCTCTATCTTGCACTCCCCTCTCCCTCCTGCCATCATTCTCCTTTCCTCTCTTCCTCTTTGTTTTCCCTCCCTTGCTCCCCTCAGTTTTCCCCTCCACTCTTCTCTCTTTCTTTTTCCCATTCCTCCATCTTTCCCTCTTCACTACTGCCCTCCCCAGTCTTGTTCCCTTCCTTCTTCACTCCCTTTTCCATCTTCCTTCACTTTTTCTTCTTCTTCTCCTAGTTCCTGCATCTCCCTCTTCCCACTTCTCTCCTTCTCCCTGACTCTGTCTTTTCATTCCTCCTAAACACTAACACACCATGCCACAATGCTATGTTTAACTGGTGCTTCACCTCTTTTCTGACCTGTCTCAAGTAAATAGAAGCTCTATTAGGGAAGGAGGTGGCCTGTATTCAGTGAATGCTTCTGGGGTGGTTACTGTGAATGAGAATATGAAGTCTTCTGTATATCTCTTGCAAAAATGGTGCCCACTGCAGACACATTTTTCCTTTCAAGGCTAAGGCATAAAACCCTCAAGGTAATTCCACACCTCAATCCACAGTGACTGTGTATATGCATTGCAGTCTATGTAACTGGCTATCTGGCTTAGGTCTCTGCATGTTAGCAGCAAAATGATTGTGTGGATTCTTTATACCTAGCTGTGCTAAGACCAGAATCAGTAACTTATTTGTATTCTCAGTTCTACCTATGATATTTGCCATAGGATTGTCAGAATGAGAGTCATCACCTTCGAGAAGGTAGTAATATGCCTTCAGCTTGCTGGAAATTAATGATAACATACTCATTTATGAGCATATGTGTGTGTCTATAGATATGTGTGTATGTATACATTATCATGTTTTAATGAGCCTTCATGCTACTCAGAGATCTTTCTAATTATAGTTCTCAGATAACATATAATCATCTATCATAACTTTGATGTGATATTCACTATGTCTATATTCAACCACTTAAAAAGTAAATGAACAGGTTATAATTGGAAAAGTAGCTTTAAAATACTGTTCCCTGCATTGAGACAAGTTTCATATTATTTCTCCCTGTCAATGCAAAGTAATATTTTCCCTAGTTTTTAAAATTTTTACTTGAAGCCTTAACAATTCCTTCAATAATGCAGTCTATTGTTGGAGAAACCTGGATGCCACAAGTGGTTTTTCCAAATGAGTCACATTTCTCTTCTTTGTTCCATTAACTTATAAATTCCCTCCAAGAACAGGTTCCGAGTCTCATTCTTCTCTATATCCCTAGTGGAGTGTTGCACAACATGCAGCCTGGGCAATGCTGTCTATTCTCACTACTCTTACTTCATTTGGTATTGGAAGTTTTAGCCAGAGCAATTATGCAAGAGGAAAAAAGAAAAGGCATAGAGATAGGAAGGAGAGAAAGATGTTAAATTATCTCTGTTTTGTGGATGGCAGGATTCTATATAGAGAGAAACTGAAAGATTCCAAGAAGGTATTAGAACTGCTAAATTCAGTAAAGCTGCAATATACAAAATCAACACACAAAAATCAGTAGCATTTTTTTATACTAATGAACTTGCTGAAAAAGAAATTATAGGAATGATTCTATTTGTGATAGCTACCAAAAATACCTTTAAATAAATTTAATTATGACTCTACAGTATAATTTACAAAACACTTGTTAAAGAAATTGAACAAGACATGCACACACAAAATGAAAACATTTGCTAGGTTCACAGATTGGAAAACATTTTATTAAAGTGCCCATGCTACCAAAAGCAAGCAAGAAGCTCACTTGTGTCCTCATCAAAATACCAATGACATTTTTCACAGGAGAAAGAATCCTAAAATTCATATGAAAACACAAGAGAGCCCGAATAGCCATAACAGACCTGAAAATAAGAAGAAAGCTGAAAGCATCACCCTACCAGTGTTCAAGACACACAATACAGCTGTTGTAACTAGAATGGCATGACACTCACAGGAAAAGTGGACACAGAGTCCAATAGAGCAGGACCAGAACCCCAGTTGGACAGGAGCAGAACCCCAGAAATGAATCCACATAGCCACGGTCAACTGATCTTTAACAAAGGATCTAAAAAGATACCCTGGAGAAGAGATGGTCTCTTCAATAAGTAATCCTGGAGAAATTATATAGGCATGTGCACAGGATTAAACCAAGACCCCCAAAGTTAACCACCCTATTTAAAAAAATCCACTAAAAACAGACCAAAGATGTAAATGTGAGGCCTAAAAGTGTTAGAAGAAACCATGAGAAATATTTCATCAGTGTGACCGATAACTTTTTTTAAAAAGCCCCCAATCACAGATAACAAAAACAAAAATAGACAAATGAGGTTGTATAAAACTAAGAAGCTTCTAAACAGGAAAGAAAACAATTAACAGAATGAACAGACAACTTAAAGACCCGAAGAATGTATTTGCAAACTATTCATCCGACATAGGATTGATAGCTAGAGTATTTCAAGACTTTTAAAAAAACTAAAAAATAAAATAGCAGACACTCCAATTAAGAGATGGACAAGGTATTCTCCAAAGAGGAATATAAGTGGCCAACTAATATATGAAAAAATGCTCAGAATCACTGGATATCAATGAAGTGCAAAACAAAACCATAATGAAGTTATCATTTTATTCCAGTTAGAATGATTACAAAAAAAAAAAAAGTCTGGTAATGATGTTGAGAAAAGGGAACTCGTATATACTGTTTGTTGGGGGAGGGATGCTTAATTACTATAACCATGATAGAGGTTCCTTAAAAAATTAAAAACAAATCTATCATATAATACAGCTATCCCTCATCTGGGGCTTTTTCTAAAGGAAACAAAGTCAATAGAGGAAGGAGATGCCTGCACTTCCAGATTTATTGCAACACTATTCACAATAGCAAAGAAAAGGCATCAACCTATATATGTCCATCAGCTGATGACTAGGTAAATAAAATATAGGTTATATACATCCCGGGATAGTATTCAGCTATAAATAATGAAATCCTGCCATTTGCAACAAAATAGATGTAACTAGAGAACATTATGCTAAGTGAAATAAACCAGACCCAGAAAAGCAAATATTACATTTTGTCTCATATGTAAGATTTAAAAGTTTAAAAAAATTATCTTAAAATATTGTTAGAAAGTTAAAAGAATCAGTGAATAGTTGAGGGTACAAGGTGCCAATGGGCATGCATAATGGGTACCAAAACATGAAAGGTGGATGTAATGGGTTCTGGTCCTTTGTAGCACAGTGGAACGACTAAGACTGAATGCGATGTATCATGTAATACTAGGAACTGGAAAAGAGCAGGTGGGCTCTAAGACAAGGATAAACAATGGAAAAATCAGTTTTTTGGTATGATTTATGTTGAAGAGAATGGGAAGCATTGAACAGTTCTAATCATGGAATTGACATGATCACATTGTTGTGTTAAGTCTTGGTAAATGTGTGGATCAATCACTGGATAAATAACTAGAGATGGAAAGGTCAGCCAGAAGGCTGTTGCTATAGCCTAAGTACTTTACTGTGGGCTGCCAGGTTATATAAAACTCAATCATCATACCTATTCATGCATGCATGTTTTTATTCATTCAATGAGTACTGATGGAGGACAGTCTATGCCAGACATGGTGTTGACCTCTTCAGTTACCTAACAGTGAGCTGGGTCTTCACAAGTGCTATGATAGCTCCCTGAAACTGTGTGTGATCACTTCTTGAAATGTCATCATATTAAACTGAAGGTCTAATATTATGCATGCACATCTTTAAATGGGCAACATTCTTCAAGCCCCAGCTCCCTATATATTCATTGTCACATAGAATGTCATGTTGTTAAACTTCTTTTTCTTACATTTGTGTCTCTTATCTAGACAGAAGTCCACTTTTAATTGAAACTTGACACCATTTCAAACATTACGGCCTTCTTAATCGGCTGCCATTCTTTACATAGTTTGAGCTCATTCATATTGACGCTAGGAGAGGACATGCCATTAGGATAGCTTGGAAAGGGAGAAGGAAACATAAATACCTGAGGAGTAGGAAGAGGGTGAGAGAATGTGTGTGTGTGTGTGTGTGTGTGTGTGTGTGTGTGTGTACTGAGAGATGTTTATCCTCAAAAAGAGGGCAACTGAGTGCCGTGAAGCAAAGCTAGGAAAGATGATCGTTTCTTCATAGGAGACCTATATAACTGTCTAATACTCTTAGTTCCTTACATCGTTGGAAGGCTTGCATAAGGACAGTCTTGCCTGAGTTGTCCAGGCCGACGATAATAACAGTCACATTCCTGGAAATGGAAAGAAAAGTTAGCCAGTCTTAAAAAGGTAGTTTTTAGTAAATACAAGAATTCAGATCTTCCTTAGTATTTGGAATTCTGCCTGCAGTAGTTTGACTGCTAAGGTGGTAGAGCGTAGTATGAGAACCTCTCCTAAAGACCTTGAAGGGCACTTTCCAAATTCACTTACTGTGTGCAGTCACCCAGCTTCCTTTACTCTGGAGAGGTTTTCAAGAAGTTCATGGAAAATTGCATATCATTAAAAAACAATGCATGAATTCAGAAAATTTTGTGCCAAAATATACTTACCTTTAAATTCCATCTTTCCACAAAAATCTTAAAAACATACTTGTATGTGTAATGCTTTGTCCCTTGCGGGACTGTGGGCAGACAATTGGGAGGAAATGGTGGAATCAATTTAAATAAATGATTGTAATATTACCTTCGTGTTGCTCCAGTTTCCTTTAGCCATGCCCAGCAGGAGGTCAATAGGCGGAACATAATTCAGCCTGATTCTTAAAGATTCAAAGAACAAAAATAAAGAAGAAATCAGTCCCATTATTAACACTGAAAGTTAAATCAACTTATGATTACATAGGTGCCGACTGAACAGGAAGTATAGAACTGTTAGATTCTGTCTATCCAACCTTGTCTATAAATGTCACAGAAAGAGGGACAGATTTCCTCAAGTCTAGTGACAAATTTTGGAAGTGATGCTGTAAGTCAAAAGGAAAATTTAGGCAGGTAGTTCGCAGTCCATCTGTGCTATAGCAAGTATCAGTACTTCATTCCTTTTTATGGTTGAATAATATTCCATTGAATAGATATACCACATTTCATTCATTCATTCATTCATTCATTCATCATTTCCCATTTCATCAGTTGGTTCTTATGAATAAAGCTGTTTTAACATCTATACACATGTGTGTGTAGATCTCTGGGTGACCCCATGTTTTCAGTTCTTTTGGATATATCACCCAGGAGTATAGTCACTGGGTCATGATGAATCTGTGTTTAGCCTTTTGAGGAAGTGCTAGACAGTTTTACAAACCCAGGACAAGATTCTACATTGCTGCCAGCAATGTTAAAGGGTTATTCTTGCTCATGTCCTCTCATGTTGTTGCCACCTTTTTGTTTACAGCTGTCTTGGCTGGTATCAGGAGGTGTCTCATTGTGATTTTATTTACATCACACTAATGACTCATGCTGTAATCCAGAGTTGAAGGCAGCCCTGGTTGGGTTAGCAAAGTACTTGAGCGTCTGCATGGGCTTTACTTAGCTAACTGATCAATTCAGTTTATGTGGTTGCTTATTAATGGGTAACTTAGCAGGATTCTACAGTTTCCCCCAAACAGTGGGCGAATCTACTAAATAGAGATTCATATTTCATAGCATTTCTCACAGCACAGCTTACTCCCTAAGAGACCACTTGGCTTCCATAAGGACTCCTGTATAATGATACTGGCTTAAGTCAGAGTAAAAGGGGAACTTTATAAATGACCTGTTGTAAAAACCAGCCCAATTCCAGCTTTGCCCATGAAGCTGATAAGACCCGATGCAACTGGGTTCCACAGTAGCCATTTCCCATGAGATGAAACCAGGAACAGCTTCAGTCTATTTCTTGATCATTGGCAGAGCTTCCTACCTTAAACTCAGGCTCTCTGAACTTCCCAAGGTTACCAAAAAGAACCAAATATATACCACATAAGCTCTCTCTCTTAAAAGATTTATTTATTTTTATTGGAAAGTCAGATTTACAGAGAGAAGGAAAGGAAGATCTGTCTTATGGTTCACTCCCCAAGTGGCTGCAATGGCTGGAGCTGAGCTGATCTTAAGGCAATAGCCAGGAGCTTCTTCTGAGTCTCCCACATGGGTACAGGGTTCCAAGGCCATGGGCAATTCTCCACTTCTTTCCCAGGCCACAAACAGGGAGCTGGATAGGAAGTGAAGCAGCCAGAAAACGAACTGGCACCCATATGGGATCCCACTATATGCAAGGTAAGGATTAGCCACTAGGCTTTCATACCGGGCCCCCACACAAGCTCTTTGTTTAGGAGAAAGGGTAGGTAGAATGACCAATTGGGAAAATGATTGAATTAAGGGTCACTAAGTCCCTTAACCTCTTTTTGAGCCTCATCTCCTAAACGTAAGAGTGATCATCGCCACTTCGTCTGAGTACAATAAACATTAAATGAGTTTATATTTAGAGTATTGAAATGAGCACTGATATGCAGTAAGGTCCATATAAATATGTATAAAATAATAAAAATTACAAACTAATGTTCATTTGAATAATCAGAAAAAGTAATCAGTAAATTCCACAAGCCCTATCTGATTTCTCATGCCTGTCCTGAAGTGAAATCACCTCCGTTTAAACCTACCACAGTCACACTGCTTACTTGGAAAATGAATGAGATAAATTTTGCTTACCTTGAGATAATGATGTATATAACAAGAAGTTTGTTCTTTCTGTATTAAAGACATAAGATGTATAGACAAATGAGGTACATTAGCCTTTCTGGCTTCGGTGCCAGATGAACACAGCTCAGTGGCCACTTATAAAGGGAATAGCAGTGTTGTAATAATGGACATCACAATACTGACATACCTATAGCAACCTGTGCTTGGCTCAAAGCAGCCAGACTCACATCTCCTTACCTTGTGTGATTATGGCTTATTATTAAGTGAATTGTATATCATTATAATTTTTACTTAATTAAAAATATTTATGTAGAATTTACTCTATACCAGTGCTCATATAACTAACACATACACACATATTCTTTTATTTAATTCTTATTATATATTATATATAGCGAATTTAATCCTTATTATGAAAAATTAGTGATCATTACTATTTTTTAAAAAGATTTATTTATTTTTATGGGAAAGAGAGATTTTCAGAGAGAAGGAGAGACAGAACGATCTTCCACCTGCTGGTTCACTCCCCAAATGACCCCAACATACTGAGCTAAGCTGATCTCAAGCCAGTAGCCAGGAGTTTCTTCCAGGTCTCCCGTGTGGGTACAAGGGCCCAAGAACTTGGGTCATTCTCTGCTGTTTTCCCAGGTCATTAGCGGAGAGTTGAATCAAGTGAGGCAGCTGGGACAGAAATTAGTGCCCAAGTGGAAGATTAGACTGTTGAGACACTGTGCTGGACCATTTAAAATCACTTATTCGAGAGACAGGGAGACAGAGATCTCATCTGCTGGTTTACTCCCTAAGTGCCTGCAACAGTGGGGCCCTGCCAAAGCCAGGAATCAGGAACTCCCTCTGGGTCTTCCACATGCATTATGGGGTCCAACTACTTGAGCCATCTGCTACTGCTTTCCTAGGTGCGTTAGCAGGGAGCTGGGTTAGAAATGGAAAAGCCAAGGATTCAAACCAGTGTTGAGACATGGACCATTGACATTCCAAACAGCAATTTAAGCATTGTGCCAAATTCATGCCTCCATTTGATATTTTGATGCATGTCTACTGATCAACTCAATGTAATTATCCTATCCATCGCCTCAAACTTTTATCAATTCTTTTTGGTGAATACATTAAAAATCCTTTCTTCTGGGCTAGGAGTGATGGCTAAATCCTTGCCCTGAGTGCACTGGGATCTCATATAGGTGCCAGTTCATGTCCCAGCTGTTCCACGTCCTATCCAGCTCCATGCTTATGGCCTGGGAAAGCACTGGAGGATAGCTGAAAACCTTGTAACCCTGCACCTGTGTGGGAGACCCAGAAGAAGCTCCTGGCTCCTGGTTTTGGATCGGCTTAGCTGTGGTCATTGTGGTCACTTGGGGAGTGAAACACAATGGACATTCTGCTCTCTGTCTCTCCTCCTCTCTGTGAATCTGCCTTTCCAATAAAAATAAATTAAATGGGGCCTGGCGGCGTGGCCTAGCGCCTAAAAGTCCTCGCCTTGAACATGCCGGGATCCCATATGGGTGTTGGTTCTTACCCCCGCAGCTCCACTTCCCATGCAGCTCCCTGCTTGTGGCCTGGGAAAGCAGTCAAGGACAGCGCAAAGCCTTGGGACCCTGCACCCGTGTGGGAGACCTGGAAGAGGTTCCTGGATCCTGGCTTCGGATCGACGTAGCATCGGCCATTGCGCTCACTTGGGGAGTGAATCATCGGACGGAAGATCTTTCTTTCTCTCTGTCTCTCCTCTTCTCTGTATATCTGATTTTCCAATAAAAATAAATAAATCTTTAAAAAATAAATTAATTAAATGTTTTATTTTTAAATGATTTTTACATAGTTGATTAGAACTCAAAGGGCCAAGAGCTACAGGAAAGTGGCTGGGACCATTGTTTCCACATTCTCCTTTTTCCAACCTGTATGTGGGGAAGAAGGGAGATAAAGGAAAAGCCACACCCAGCCTCCCAACCATCCCAGGGTCCCCGATGTGGGGCATGCTCCAAGGGCTCTGCTAAAGTGGTTTCGATAGTGTTGCTGCCAGTCTCACCATTCCAAGCATGATGAAATATTTTCAGAATCCACTGACTGACATAGTCCACCTTAGAGTTTCAGTTTGCCCAGATTTTCACTGCCAACACATGTCTGGGGTAGTTGATTCATTTTTTCTGTCCTCTGTCATGGTACCAGGTGTCCTTTATAGGCTCCAATGTACTGCCATATCCTCCATGCTCACTTGGATATGCTGGCTACTGCTCCATCTAAGCCACTGAGGAGGGTGAGCTTTGACACATGCACTCCATGGTCAAAACTTGCATTTCTCTTCATGGTTGGGGTTCTGAGTTCAGCAGTTCAGTTGGGGGTATTCCCAAAGAAACTTCATCTGAGGCCATCCAAAACCTGATTCTTGTGTGTCCTTGCCAATACAGGGTCTGGCACAGTCTTGCACACACTGGTAGTTGCTATTGCTGGATCAGTTTTGTCTCCATCCTTGTCTTCTATGCAAATCAATATGTGTTGGATCCCATCCCATTCCTTTCCACTGCACACTTGGCCCTCATGCAAACCAGTGGGAGCTGCAACCTAGTCACAGTGACCTTCAGTAACCCTCACCAGGGCCGCTCCGTGCTCTGGCTCCTTATTTACCAGTATGTACAGCAGACTGGTCCAGTCTGTCCCACATCCCATTCAGTTCTTATACAAGTCAATGGGCATTGAAGCCTAGTTCAAGCCAACTAGTCTCATTATCCAGCCGTACTCCATCTAACCATGCCTGCCCCAGTCTTGGTTCTCATGTTCACCAGTCAAAGTGGCAACCCAAGAGGGAGGTGCCCACTTTTTCCTGCCAGGCCCATTCCACTCCTGGATCTTGCACTCTCCAGGTGGTGCTGCAGTTTAACTTGACAGAATTAGCCCCCAGTGCCAGCATTTGACTGCTGATGCTGCAGCAAAGCCCAACCAACCCACATCCGCTCTGACTTATGCTTGCACCAGTAGGAACAGTCAACCCAGCCTGGCTTTTCGTTGATCAGGCTCACATGAGACAAACAGGTATTGCACCCCTGCCTGGTCTGGTCTGCCCCCATTCCAACTCATGCGCTCCAGTGGGACTCGTGGCCCAGCAGAGAACCCCATGCAGCCCCACTACAAGCTTTGTCCCCTGCTCCCCTGGTTCTCATTTGTGCCAGTTGGGTGCTACGAACTGGTCTAGCATGGCCCGCTTCACCTCGGCATTTGCCAGTGGGTGCTGTGGCCTGGCTTGGCCCAGCCCACCCCCAATTCCAGCTCATGCTGGTGGGGGCTACAGCCTAGTCAAGCTCAGCCAGCACCCAGTCCCAGCCAGTATGTATACTGGCATATGTTGTGACCAAGCTCAGCCTGACTCACTGCATTTTGGTGCTTGGGTTCGCCAGCAGGTGATGTGAACTGGCCCAGCCTGGTCCATCCCCGGCCTGCACCAAATGTATACTGGTGGGTATGGTTCTCTGACCTGGTCTGGGCTGCTCCCTATCTTGTGCTCTCCTGCAGGGACTGTGTCCCTACAGAGGAGTTCCCCAAGCTCCTCTATCAGAACCTCTCCCAATGCCAGATCTCATACACACCAATGGGTCCATGGGTCAGTCCTACTCAGTCCACCTCCTGTCTTAGCAGGAACAATGGCCTTTCCTGACCAGCCTTTCACCCATTCCAGTTTTTAATATTGGGTGATACAATCCAGCCAAGCCAGATCCACATCCAGACATACCTCACAGCTGGCTCAGCAGGGATGTAAACCTAGCCTAACCTGTCCTACACCTACCCTGGTCCTCATGAGCACCAATTGGTGCTGGAGTCTAGCCCAGTCTGGCATGCCCAGCCTTGGTCCACACTTGTGCCGAGGGATACTGCAGGTATATCCAGAACAGAACATAGCCTCCACTCCACTCCCTGCACTCACCAGCGGGAACCACAACCCAGCCAGTATGTCCTCTTAGCTCCCCAACCTGGCCTGTTCCCAGCTATAGCTCTTGTATGTGCCAATGGTTGCTCTGACCCAGCTTGGCATAGTCCATCACCTGTCATAATCCTTGTCTTTGTATAATGTAGCCTGGCCTGACTTGGCCTGCCCCCAGTCCTGACTCTCGCTGGCAGGTGCTAGAACCTGGCCCTACTCAGTCTGCTCCCATCCCTGGCTCATGCATACCAGTAGGTGTGGCAGCCTAGTCCGGCATGACCTGTGCTCCAGCCTAGTTTCTGCTCTTACTGGTGAGCTAAGGTTTGCTTGGCCTTGCCCAGTCTGCCCCCTTCCCAAACCAACCCACACATTAGCCAACAGTTGGAGCTAACTTGCCCAGCTTGCCTGAACCCCAGGCTTGGATCATGTGATCACCAGCTTGAGCTGTGTCCCACTAGGGGATTTCCCCATATTCCCCCACCTGGCCCACTCCCAGACCCAGATTTCATGCATGCCAGCGAGTGTTAGGCCCTTGCCCAGCATATCCTGCCCCCCCGTCTTGGCTTTGTATGAGCTGGTGAAAGTTGTGGCCTGGCCTGCTCCCACACCCTGTTTTAGGATACACATGCAGGTGCTGCTGCCTGGATCTGCCTAGACTGTTATCAGTCCTTGCACTCATGAATGTCAGCAGGTTCCATGGTCACACCTAGCTCAGCCCATCCCCAACTCTCTCTTTTTTATTTAATCTCCCAATTTTTTAAAACTTATTTATTTTTATTGCAAAGTTAGATATATACAGAGAGGAGGAGAGGCAGAGAGAAATATCATCTGTCCGATGATTCACTCCCCAAGTGACCACAACTGCTGGTGCTGCGCCGATCCAAAGCCAGGAGCCAAAAGTTCTTCCAGGTCTGCTATGCAGGTGCAGGGTCCCAAGGCTTTGGTGCCTTGACTGCTTTCCCAGGCCACAAGCAGGGAGCTGGATGGGAAGTGGGGCTGCCGGGATGAAAACTGGTGCCCATATGGAATCCTGGCACATTCAAGGAGAGGACTTTAGCTGCGTACCAGTAGGTGTGGCAGCCTAGTCAGGCATGACCTGTGACCTAGGCCACGGTGCTGGGCCCATCATTCCCAACTCTTGAGCTAACCAGAGGGACTTGTGTTTCCACAGGGTTGGGCCCACACATCCC